CCAAGAACCCACCCAGACCCCCCCCCCACCCCCCCCAAACCCCCCCAGGCCCCCCCAGGACCCCCCCCGAGACCCCCCCAGCCCCCCCCGGGGGTCTCACCGGGGGTCAGCAGCCGGTCCTGGTACTTGGGCACGTGGGGGTCGACGCTCTGCAGCATCACCCACATGGTGAGGGCGAAGAGCCCGGCCAGGAACCCGTAAAACACCAGGTAGAACAGCAGGATCAGCCCTGGGGGGGCCGAATTTGGGGGGTCAGGACCCCCAAAAATGAACCCCCCGCGGGGAAAAACCCCCCCCAGGGGTCAGCGACCCCAAAAATCCCACCCAAAATGGGTGGAAAAGACTCAAAACTGGGAATAAATCCGCAAAAAAAGGCGCTTTGCAAGAGCGGGATCAGCCCTGGGGGGGAAAATTTGGGGGGTCAGGACCCCCAAAAATGAACCCCCCCATGAGGAAAAAAACCCCCCCAGGGGTCACAGACCCCAAAATCCCACCCAAAATGGGTGAAAAATTCCCCAAAATCCCACCCAAAATGGGTGAAACAGCCCCAAAATTGTGAACAAATCCCAAAAAATGTCACTTTGGAGGAGCGGGATCAGCCCTGGGGGGTGAAATTGGGGGTCAGGACCCCCAAAAATGAATCCCCGAGGGGTCAGTGACCCCCAAAATCCCCAAATCCCACCTTGATATGGTGAAAAATCCCTAAAATCGGGGTTAAATCCCCCCCAAAAAAATCAGTTTGGAAGAGCAGGAGCAGCTCTGAGGGGCCAAATTTGGGGGTCGGGACCCCAAAAAATCCCCCAGACCCCTCCAAAATTTCCCAAATGACACCAAATCACCCCAAAAAAACCCCAAAATCCCCTAAATACCCCCCAAAAATGCCCCAATGGCATCAAATCCCCCAAAAACGCCCCCAAAAAACTGCCCCGAACACCCCAAATACCCCCAAAAGTGGCTCAGGGCACTTAAAATTCTCCTAAAATTGCCCCAATTTTATAAAATAACCCCCAAAACTGCCCCAAACACCCCAAATATTCCCTAAATATCCCCTGAAGACATCAATAATCCCCAAAAATCGCCCCGAACACCCCGAAATCGCCCCAAAATCCTTCAAACACCCCCGAAAAATCTTCCCCGGGCACCTCAAATGTGCCCCTAAAATGTCCCCGAGCCCTAAAAACGCCCCCAAAATTGCTCAGATCCCATCAAAACCCCTCCAAAGTGCCCCAAAAATCCCAAAAATCCACCCCGAAACAGCAAAATCCCCCCCAAAAACCGCCCCGGATCCCCCAAATCTCCCCCCAAAACTGCCCCGATGGCAGCGAACGATCCCAAAATTTCCCTTAACCTTTCAAAATTTGCCCCAAACTTCCCCAAATCCTTCGAACGCCCCAAAAATTCACCCGAAAATTGCCCCGAACAGCCCAAAATCCACCCCAAAACTGCCCCGGACCCCCCAAATTCTCATGGATTTACCCCCCCCAACAGCCAAGAACCCCCAAATCTCACCCCAAATACCCCCAAAATTGCCCAAATCCCATGGAAACCCCCCAAAAGTGCTCAGAGCCCCCCAAATTCTCTTGGATTTACTTCGCTGATATCGAATACCCCCCGAAACTGCCCCAAAATCCCCCAAAACTGCCCCAAAATCCCCCAAAA